GGGTTCCGGGCCTGCTTCGCTCAGCTGTGCTCTGCAAGTGCGCAGCCACAGGCTTGGCACCAGCGCGAGTCCACAAGACCCACGGCCACAGGCTCAGCCTTGGGGCCGATTCCCCTCCCTACCGGGCATTAGCAGGCAGGCACTGATGCCACGGCTCCTGCCAACTCTAGCACGTGTGGACCGCCACCTGCACAGCATGCGAAACAAGGTGTGCATCCCTCCCTACCTGCACTCTTCCCAGCATTCGCCAGCAGGAAGGGCTTGGGCTCCACCTGGTGGCCACTGCCAGGAATGCTCCTTTGGCCAAGACTGACACACAAAGGTCACAAAACAAGGCTGATGTGGCCCTTGTGACAACAGGCCTGGGCACACTGCGACCCTCCCTCCCTCCATCTGGGTGTTTTGGACTTCAACTCCCAGCATTCCCAACAGCCTCGGGTCCCTCGGCCACTTATTTATTTTATTATTTATTTAGCAATTTTGTATGCCGGTCTCCTTCTCCCCTCTCTCGGGGGACTCGGGCCGGTTTCCAACCATAAAATCACAAAACAATCATTAAAAACATCATATAACATAATTCAATTAAAACGTTATAACAGCAAAATGCAATCCCATAATAACAATGGTCAGTCGTCATCGTGAATTCGTTGTCCGTCATTCATCGTCATCTATCCGATCACAGAAATACGGATTCACTCGTCGAAAGCCAAACCCCATAGCCAGGTTTTCACCCGTTTCCTGAGCGACAGAATGGAGGGGGCAGTTCTGATCTCCAGCGGGAGAGAGTTCCAGAGTCGAGGGGCCACCACCGAGAAGGCCCTGTCCCTCGTCCCCACCAGGCGCGCCTGAGAGGCCGGTGGGACCGAGAGCAGGGCCCCTCCAGACGATCTTCACAACCTAGATGGTTCGTAGGGGAGAATACGTTCGGACAGGAAAACTTAAGTGGAAAAGGAAATGAAAGGGAGGGAGGGAGGGGGCTGAGGCCGTGAGGGTTTGCAGCAGGGGGTGGGATTCAGAGAGAGAGAGAGTTCCACTGGTGAACAGGGAGTTCCTCCTAATCAAGTTCAAGTGCCATTTGAAGCCAGGGCTCCCTTGAGTCCTGTTCTCCGGGGCTCCCTCCTCTTTAGGAGACCCCTTCCCATATGGAAACATGGCTCCTCCTCTCCTCTCTCCTCTCCACCTCCTCTTCTGCAGGCTAAACAGACCCAGGTCTTTAAGACGCTCCTCAGAGGGATGATTCCTGGTCTCCAGGCCTTTGAACCTTTGAGTCACGCTCTTCCTCCGGACCCCTTCCACCTTGGAGTCTATGTCTCCTTTGAACTGTGGGCACAACGGGATTCCAGGTGGAGAGGTCTGGCCAAAGTAGAATCAAGAGGCACCAGGACTTGTTCGTTTTGGCCCAGCTCCACGACCGGCCCACCCGACCACCCTTTTTGCTTCTGGTGGAGCCGAAAGTGCAGGCGGGCCTTTGTGGTGTGCCTGAATGGGCCTGGGCGGAGCTGGTGCAGGAATGAGCTCGTTGCATCAGAGCCTGTGGCCGCTCATCAGCTTCCATTCAGCGTGACTCCATGAGAGGGACACCCCCCCCCACCCCAAGGGAAGGAGCCCCTGCTACAAGGGACAGCCCTGCTCAGGCCTTGCGCCTCCTTTTCCTCCTTCCTTCCTTCCTTCCTTCCTTCCTTCCACATTCCCAGCACAATGGTCTTTCCCAAGGAGTCATGCCGCCTCCACAACGGCCTTGGTTTCCTCCTTCTGCCACCTCGGGAGGGTTCAAGCTGGGCCTGGTCTCTGCCCCACTTGCGGCTCTTTCCATCCACCCAGGCTCTCCCCAGAGCTCTCTTCCAGCTCCACGTCTCAAAGGGGGGCTCCACTTCCTGTCCGCTGCCTTCCCTGGCCGTCTTCCACAAACACACAGGAGGAGGAAAGGTGAAAGGTGTCCCCTCTGGGTCTGCCTTCACTGCTTCATGGTGCGCCTTCACACCTGAGGTCCTTCCCTAGTTCCTCCTTCACAGATGCTGCAGCGCTTTCGTCTTCTTCCGGCTTGTTTACTACCATCTCCATTTTGATTCATGACCGAACCAAGGGATGGAAAATACTCCATGACGTTGAAGGCGGCTCACATTCAGCTGGAACCCTACTTTTGGACTTAGAGAATCCTAGAGTGGGAAGAGACCTCATGGGCCATCCAGTCCAACCCCTCTGCCAAGAAGCAGGAATATTGCATTCAAAGCACCCCCCTGACAGATGGCCATCCAGCCTCTGTTTAAAAGCTTCCAAAGAAGGAGCCTCCACCACACTCCGAGGCAGAGAGTTCCGCTGCTGAACGGCTCTCACAGTCAGGAAGTTCTTCCTCATGTTCAGATGGAATCTCCTTTCTTGTAGTTTGAAGCCATTGCTTTGCATCCTAGTCTCCAGGGAAGCAGAAAACAAGCTTGCTCCCTCCTCCCTATGACTTCCCCTCACATATTTATATTTATTTGTCGTGTCAGGGCAACCAGTCATTTATATTACATTTCTAACGGAACAAAGCAAACAAACAGACAAAATAGTTGATTAAATGTCCTTTGACCAGTATCTGGCCACTTGGAGTGCTTCTGGTGTTGCACATATTGATACATGGCCATCATCATGTCTCCTCTCAGCCTTCTCTTCTTCAGGCTAAAAATGCCCAGCTCTTTAAGCCACTCCTCATAGGGCTTGTTCTCCAGACCTTTGATCCTTTGAGTCGCCCTTCTCTGGACACATTCCCGCTTAGAGTCAACATCTCCCTTCAGTTATGGTGCCCAGAATGGGACACAGTGGGATTCCAGGTCACATGGTCTGACCAATGCAGAATAGAACATGGGGAGCAGGACTTTCCTAGATCTAGGCACCTCTTGATGCAGGCCAGAATCCCATTGGCTTTTTTTGCCGCCGTATCACACTCCTGGCTCATGTTTAACTTGTTGTCCATGAGGACTCCAAGATCTTTTTCACATGTCCTGCTTTCGAGCCATGTGTCCTCCATTCTGTCTGTCTCCCCTTTCGTCCTTATTGTTCATCAGCTGTCACTCTTCCCATGTTCTGTGAGTAATGGAGTATTGTCTGTGCAGGTTCAATTCCCACCCCTCCTTCCCTCCTCCCCTCCTCCCTTTCTGTGTGACAACCTGTATGTCAACATTCCCCCCTGAGGGGAGGGCTGCCTGGTGCCCAGAGAACATTGCGCTCCAGCTGGGTGGTGTTCCCAGGTCTCTCCGAGGGCCACAGCATGTCTTGTGATTGACATCGTCAAAGGCTTCTCCGTAGTCTCCAAAGCAGAGCCTGGCTTCCTTCTGATGTTATTCGGCAGTGTGCTCTGTCAGCCAACGTATGGGTATTTGCCACAGGATCCCTGGTGCCTCTTCCCTTTCTCTGGCAGATACCAACAAATGTCTTGTATTTCCAGCAATTGCGCTTTTGAAGATCCCAAGACGACACAGAAGTGACAGAAATGCGCTCTCTCTCTCACACACACACCGCTATACATTCATGGCACCCAGGTGTGGCGCTTACACAGGTGACGCTCTCCTGTTGGAAGAAGAGAATGTCTACCTACGGAAACGTCTCCTCAAAGGCACGCCAAAGGGAGGGCCAGGCTGGCTGAGGGCCAAGAGGATCCCAACCTGAGAGGAGAAGGTCAGGGGACTCCTGACGACTCTTCCCGGGAGCAACAGCAGGGAGGCCTCTGAGTCCTTATCACAGAATCCTAGACTTGGAAGAGACCTCCTGGGCCATCATCCAGTCCAACCCCTTTCTGCCAAGAACCAGAACATTCGCGTTCAAATCACCCCTGACAGATGGCCATCCAGCCTCTGCTTAAAAGCTTCAAAAGAAGGAGCCTCCACCACGCTCCCTCCGGGGAAGGCAGAGAGTTCCACTGCTGAACAGCTCTCCCAGTCAGAAAGTTCTTCCTCATGTCCAGGTGGAATCTCCTTTCCTGTAGTTTGAAGTCGTTGCTCCACGTCCCAGTCTCCAGGGCAGAAGCTTGCTCCCTCCTCCTCCTCCCTGTGATTGCCTCTCACATATTTATACATGGCTCTTCTCAGCCTTCTCTTCTGCAGGCTTTAAACCACTCCTCATAGGGTTTGTTCTCCAGACCCTTGATCAGTCCATCATCCATCTTGCCCATGCGGCCGCCTCCTTTCTGGACTTCCCTTGAGTCAAGGATGTGGTCCAGCCAAGAGCACGCCACCCCGGCTGAGCCAATGCTACAGCAGCCAAGCACAGCCAAAGAAAGGCACCGAAGGGTCAGCGGGTGGCCCTGTCGTGGGCCATGTTCCGCAGTTGATGGTGGAAGGTGGGGTCAGGCCTAGTAGTTGGTGAGGGAAGGGGGTCATGTCAGTCCTAGTTAATCTGTAAGGAAGAATTTCCAGGCAAAAGCAATTACAGGGAGAGGCACGCAAGAGATGGGGTGCAGCTGGGTTTCACTGGGCATACGGAGCTAGCCTGGAGACCCATCTTGGGGAGAAAAGTATTTGTCCGACTTGGCTGTGGATGCGGCCGGCTGGTTTTCCCCCAGGTTTGTGGATTTTTGGTATCCTGACCTGCCTCCTGAACTCTGGGAACCCTGGAACCTTGCATCTCTGGACTGGCTCCTGACTACGGTATAGACTCCCGATCCCTGGACTTTACTCACTGGTGTTTGACCACTGGACTGAACCTTTGGACTACGGTATTCTCCCGAACCTGCATCGGCGTTTGCAACCAGTCTTTGTGCTATCTTTATATTTTATATTTGGACTATGAACACAGTCAGATAGTCAGTGCTGCTTGCTCTAAACAATTTGACACAAGCTGGGTGTTTGTTTGGTTCACCTCTGCCTGCGTACTGGCACCAAGACAGGCTCCCCAGACCCATACGCCTCCCAGGCCTTTGACACAGGCAAGGTCTGCAGCCAGCCCCCCAAGTGCCTCCTGAGGATCCCCACACCTTGACCCTGGAGGGATCACCCCACGCACTCACCCTTGCCCCGCACACCTACCTTGGCCACAAACTGCTTGTCCTTCTGGTCCAGGTTGGCCGTCGGGGCCACGTAGTCCCTCCAGATCCTCAGCTTGCGCTCTTTGGCAAACCTGCCGCCCAACAGGAAGACATTACATTGTTATGGATGCATATGTTTTATGTTAATATGATTGTTTATTGTTTGCATTTTCGGTTTGTGCTTGATTGTAATGGTTGTTTGGGCTTGGCCTCTTGTAAGCCACTCCCAGTCCCCATCGGGGAGATGGTGGCGGGGTAGAAATAAAGATTATGATGATGATGATGATGATGATGATGATGATAAGGAGAGGGAGCTCAGCTCCGGCGCAGCAGCGTCCTCCAGCCCCGCAGGCCCTTGGGGGCCGCCCCCCCCCCCCTTCTCTCCAAGGGGAAGCCAGCGAGGACTCCATGCCATTGTCAAGGAATAATAGCCTGAACCTAATGCAGGCATGGGCCCACTTTGCCCCCCCCCCCCCCAGGCGTCCTGGACTTTCACTATTCCTCACAGCCTCAGGTCCCTTCCATTTTATTATTTATTATTTATTTATTTATTTATTTATTTTGGGTGCTTTTACCCCGCCCTTCTCAACCCCCGAAAGAAGGAGGACTCAGGGCGGCTTACAAAAAAGGCACAATTCGATGCCTGTACAAATTACACATAATATACAAAACCATAGTTAAAAACAGTTATCACAGTTAAAACAATCAAACAACCAGTACGTAACACATCATATAAAACATCTATAAAACTATTCTCGTGATCAGCATTTCGTCTTTCAGAGTTCCATAGATCTAATCCATTCATCATTTCCTAGTCATCGTCAAAGTTCTTTCTTTATCTGCCCGATTGTCCGAATGCCTGGTCCCAGATCCATGTTTTCAGTTTTTTCCTAAAGGAAAGGAGCGATGTTGCAGATCTAATTTCCCCGGGGAGTGAATTCCACAGGTGGGGGGCCACCACGAGAAGGCCCTGCTCCTCGTCCCCGCCAATCTCACTTGTGATAGAGGCGGGGTCGAGAGCAGGGCCTCCCCAGAAGATCTTAGGCTCCGGGGTGGGACGTAGAGGGAGATCCGTTCGGACAGATACACCGGGCCAGAACCGTATAAGGTTTTCCCGTCAGCCATATAAACGGAAAAGGAATGGGAAAAGGAAAGGGCCTGAGGCAGCGAGGAATGGTGGGAGTCCAAAACACCTGGAGAGAGGTCCCAAGTTTGCCCATGCCTGGCCTCATGCATGGCACCCATGGAGAGAGGCCCTGCTCTCGTGGCAACTCCAGCCCTCATTGGTTAGGGGGACAAGTTCACTCCACTTCACTTCACTGTATTTCTTAATGAGTGGCTCTCCACCCAGGTGCTCCAAGCGACTTACAGTCTAAAATAGCATTTACACAATACAAAAGCATTCCACATAAAAACATTCCACAGTGACTATTTGGCAAATGAGATCTGATGACTTAAATGCACAACCAAGCAGCCAAGTCTTGAGTATCGTGGTGCAGGAGGGTGTTGGCCACGGAAGCCTGAAGGCCACGCCTGCCCCCTCCCTCCCTCCCTCCCTCCCTCCCTCCCTCCCTCCCTCTCTCTCTCTCTCAGAACGCTTCCATCTCCACGTGCAGCCACCTCCATGATAGGAAGGCGATGCCCAGGACAGCCAAGCCCAGCCCCACTGGCCTCAGAAGAGTGTCCCAGGAGCTGACCTGGGAGGGAGGGGAGGGGAAGAGGGGAGGGGAAGAGGGGGCAGCCCTACCTCTCTGCGGCTCGCAGCTTCTCGGCCCCTCGGGTGTAGACAGCGATGGACCAGTCAACGCAGCGAGCAAAGCCTTCTTTCAGGAGCAGCTCTGTGATGTTTCCATTCTGAGGACAAGAAAGAGAAGGAAGGGACCGGGGAGAGCGTGTGTAAGCACACCTTTCGGTGCCTGCCGGCGCTTTCCTCCTCCACCTCCCTGCCACCGCCACCGCCACCGCCACCCCTTGGCATCTTGCACCTACACGTGCCCCAAACAGCAGGCAAAGGCTTCCCCCTGTACCCACAAAAGGTGACCCTGCCTGTTCTGTCAAAGGACGAGGGGGCACGAGCACTCCTGCCCTGCAATCAGAACGTGGTGCCATGACAGCACAGGCACTGCTTACAAAGCAGCAAAGGAGGAAGCACGCACTCTCCGACCCCAGCACAGAAGGGCTGGGTGACGGAAGGGACCATGCGCACCCCCTCCAGCCCATCTCCATATCTCCCATGTCCCTCCACTTCTGGTGGACCCCCTCCTCACAGCACCAGGTCTTCTACCTTGGGCTCCTCACAGAACTGCCTCCCAGAGCCTGTGAGCAGAGTCAAGGCCCTCCATGCCCATGCCCTTGCCCAGCGCAGCCTTTCCTTGCCATTGCTGGACCTTGGGTCTTCTTGGGCCACAGGGACCCTTGGCCTTCCCAAAGCTCAGACCGAATCTCCGGTTTGGACATTGCCTCCCTCACTCTGAAAGGCCTGCACCCCCCAACACACACACCCCCCCCCCCCCCCGAAATCACTCACCGGGTGGAGGATGGTGCCGAGGATGTTCTGGTTGTGGCAGCTCTCCAGGACGATCTGCACGTCTCTCTGCAGGAGCCGGGACTCGGTGAAGAACTTGGCCTCGGCCGCAAAGGGCTCCGGGGTCTCCGTGCCGTCTGCCTCTCGCTTGAAGGTTGGGCACTGCGGGCGGGAGGGCGGGCAGAGCGGACGGTCAGTCACAAAGGGGGAGGAGGAGGAGAACCCCCTTCAGCCTTAGACAGGACACCCTCCCTCCCTCCCTCCCACACCCGGCCCCACGTTGGATGGGCAGGATACCACCGACAGAACGAGACTCCGTTGGTGGAAAGAGACGGATACTGACCGCAGTTGGTTTTGTATTCCGCAGCTATTGTTGCATTTTACTGAGCTTCATACATTCTAATGTGCATTTAATTTTTAAATCTTTAACTTCATGTATTTTAACCCCTTGTTTCAAAGGCAATGACAAGTTGCCATATGTCAAGCCGCCTTGTGCCTTCCCAGAATAAGGAGAACTCTCAGCAACATGTCCTCACGATGCACTTTAATACTGACTTAGGATGGACTGCGCTCCCTCATTTCTCCCCAAAAAATCCTATCCTACTTATATTTTACCTTCTTCACGTCAGGGTATTTTCAATTTTAATCTAGTACATTTGGCCCGACCATTTTTAAAGTTGTTTATGTCACTATTGATTGTTTTTTGTTTATGTGATTTGTATGATTTGTATTTTATTGCTTATTGATGTTGTGTTTATTGATGTTTTGTTTGATGTACTTTGGGCTCGGCCTCATGTAAGCCGCACCGAGTCCCTCGGGGAGATGGATTATTATTATTATTATTATTATTATTATTATTATTATTATTATTTTATTATTATTATTGTTATTATTATTATTATTATTATTATTGAGACAGGCGGGATACAAACAGGGTAAATAAATAAATAAATGGGGGGGGGTGATGTTCATGTTGGTTGTTGCTGCTTTGTGTTGTTGTCTTTGCACTTCTTTGTATATTGCGTGTTTGCCCCCTTGAGTGCTTTGTGAGCCACCCCAAGACCCTCCAGAAGATGGTGGCAAGATATAAATAAAGTTGGGTTGTTGTAGGTTTTTCCGGGCTATATGGCCATGTTCTGGAGGCAATTTTTCTCCTGACATTTCGCCTGCATCTATGGCAAGCATCCTCAGAGGTGAAACGTCAGGAGAGAATGCTTCTAGAACATGGCCATATAGCCCGAAAAACCTACAACAACCCAGTGATTCCGGCCATGAAAGCCTTCAACAATACAATAAATAAAGTTGTTGTTGCTGTTGTTGTTGTTGTTGTTGTTGTTGTTGTTGTTGTTGTTGTACCACCTCTAAACTACTTGGGGGCAAAGGCCGGCAGCCCACCCACCTTGATGCCAGAAAGCATGACCGTGACCAGGTAGTAGTCGGGCAGGAGGAGGGCGCGGACCACACTGCCATCGCGGACGTGTTCAATGATGGCTGTGGGAGACAAACGAGGAGAATGTGCCACCAGACGAGACCAGGCCCGGCCTCCCGCCACCTGCTCCAGGAGCCCCTCGGGCAGGCACACTCCTGCAGGGCCCGCAACCACACTCACCATTCACGGGCTTCTGGTGCATGGAGTCCACAAAGTGTCGGGGGTTCTCGATGGTGTACTTGAGGTCCCGGACGGTGTGGGAGCCGGTCCCCTCGCTCCACATGCCCTTCTTGGCCGTCCGGGCCTGCTCCTCCAGCTCAGCCAGACGGCTCTGTTCGGGGCTGACGGAGGAGGAAAGGCTCCCGTTAGGATACTTACTGATTTGATTGATTGATTGACTTCATGTTCACCCCGCCTTTCCCACCCGAGGGGACTCCAGGCAGCTTGCGGCTCCAGCAAGAATCCAATGCCAGTAAAATCCAACAATAAACAGTAAGAACGCATCCCACAGTTAAAACAATCAACAGTTAATCAATAAAACACATAAAACAGTATACAAATTAAAAACATATAAAGTGCATAGTTCCATTCAGGTAAGTTGGACCAGAATCGTTTAGGGCAGTGGTTCTCAACCTGGGTCCCCAGATGTTTTTGGCAGTCAACTCCCAGAAATCCTAACAGCTGGTAAACTGGCTGGGATTTCTGGGAGTTGTAGGCCAAAAACATCTGGGGACCCCAGGTTGAGAACCACTGGTTTAGGGCTTTATAGGACAAGACCAGCACTTTGAATTGGGCTCAGCAGCATATCCGCAGCCAATGGAGCCGACGCAACAGAGGAGTTGTGTGCTCCCTGTCGCACCTCAGAGTAGATTCACCTTGCTGAAAAACACCAAACTGCACACAGCCAGAAGTCTTTATAGTTTATTAAAAATAAAAGGTAAAAAGTTCTTAAAAGCAAAGGTAATGTTTCAAAAGATCAATATAAAAAAGCACTTTGAAGACTAATCCAAAAAGGCACCAGCAAAACAAAACCCCAAGAGAACCTGACAAAGTCCTGACAACATGAACACAAGGACTGCAAGAGAATCCAAACAAGCAAAGGCAAGCTTCTAGGTTAAACACAAAGTTGCTTTGACAAAGATTTGGCCTCAAACACACTGCTTAATACCCTTTGCCAAACATGAAGGCATTTCTCTGGCCTCTGGCCTCCTTCCTGTTAGCTATTCTCACACTCCTTCGAACTCTGAATTCCAAACGGTCAGCCCGATCTAAGTTTCCCATTTCGTCAAGTCTGTTCGTTAGTGTCAGCCTGTTTCCCTGCGTGCTCATTATCATTATCAGGCTGAGAACTGTCCTCCTTCTCTGGGTCAAACTGCACCTGCACCTGGCTAGTTTCAGTATCAACACTCTCACTCCTTGCTGTGGGAAATTGCACTTCTTCACTGTCTATAACAGGGACATTTTGAACCAGGCAGTGAACCTGAGTCCCATCATCCTCATCAGAGACATTCTGTGGTCCCAGCTGAGTCACAACACTCCCTGTACGCCACTCCAGTGAGGAATCTGGCCACTGCCCCTTGGACTACTTGGAGCTTCCGGGCCATCTTCAGAGGCAACCCCACGTAGAGCACGTTGCAGTAGTCTATACGAGATGTAACAAGAGCATAGACTACTATGGCCAGGTAGTGACAACTGCACATGCACATGGGGCAACCATGCTGGGAACTTCTGCTGCTGATATCCTGGCAAGGTCCACCTGCCCGCCCACTCTTTCCTCCTCACAGGGCGGGTTCTCCAGACCCTGGATCATTCGAATCGCCCTTCTCTGGACACATCTCAGCTGAGAGTCGAGGTCTCCCTCTGTTCAAAATGCCGCCACAAAGAGACCCCTTGGCCCACTCTGCCTGCCTCTGGTGCCTCTGAAGCAGGCACAGGCCAACTTGGGACCCAAGAAGGCCCCAGCCTGCTTTGAAGCCTCCCTGCTCCTGGGCGCCCAATCCTGCGCTCACACACCCTCTGCCTTTTGGCCAAGCGCTCTGCCAACTCCTATTTCTCCCCAGCGTGGCCCCCCAGCACCCACTTCCCTGTATCTCTCTCCTCACGGCACCCGGAGAGCCTGTTTAATCTTCCCAGAGCTTTCATCTCCGGGTGACTGCTGCCATGTCAGATCTTCTGCACTTTTGTAGACAGTTTACAGGAGTTCTTTTGTGTTAACACAAGGGGCTGGCGTGGGAGTGTTTCCTGGGGGGACGGGTGGGAGATTCATCCATTCAGAAAGGAAGGACGGGGAAGCCAACGGCATGTCCATGACTGAACTGTGGCCCTCCTTCCTTCAGAGGGGTGCAAGCTCAGAGGCCGCCTCGAGGAGGGTCTCCGTCCGTCTTTCAGCAAGCACAAGAAGAGCGTGCTCAGGGATGTCCCAGTGCCAGTGCAGCCAAGAGCAGTCAAGCTCTTTTCTGCCCCCCCCCCCACTCCCCCCAATCCATTCCGATCCCAGCTCCCCAGGAAGAAGGGATGCATGCAACTGCAACAAAAACCGGAAAAACCCAATCTGACCACAGGCCAGGCTCCAACCACTGGCAAGTGCTCAGCCTGCAGCCTACCCCCACCTGGGCCAAGGCTGTCCTGGCCTCTTGGGATACAAGGCCAGCAGTGGGGGCCCTACAGTGCCACGGGATTCCTGCCCAAAGGTCCCTTCGGAGGAGGAAGGAGAGCAGGGAAGTGCTCAGGAATTGGAGGGAGAAGAAGAATCAGACGATGAGGCTTTCAAGTGCCCACATTTCTAGAGAGATGAAAGGAGGCAGAGCACAGACGGCGTTCAGCTAGAATAGCTGCTAAAAACATTGAGCTAATTGGGAACCGCCCTAGCACCTCCTGCGTGGGGAATTCAGGGCTATAAATTAGGAGAAGTCAGCTTTCGCTGGTAACAACAACTCTGATGCCGAAGTTTTCACTCCAGTGGAATCTGCTTTGTGTCTGCTGCTAAGGACTTAGTGATTATTGCCTGTTGTCTGATGGAAGACTGCTGTTTCTTTTGGGACTTTGTAAGAGACTTTAATTTGTGTCTGTATTAAGACTTCCTTGCTTTCTTTTGCATGTTCAACTGCATTTGCTTATCCTTTGTGTTTGCTGAAGTAAAGCATTTTTCTTTTACTTACAACATTGTCTAAAGGCTGTTTTTGAAGGGCAACTCAGGACACCCAGCAACATACGGCCGGCCAGCCTCCAGCCAATGGTGAGGAGTGGTGGGCGGAGAAGACCCATCTTATCTGGTATGTGAGGGAAGCCCCCTTCTTCCATTCAGAGCCACCCGAGGTCCCACAGCTTCACCTCCGCACATCCATCCCCAAGTCCCATGCCAGGCTAGGCTGTGGCTCTTCTCAGAGCCTTATGGAGGGCCGGTTCTTGGGGGGCCTGAGGACAGGAAAGGGGGGCCCAGCAGCCACAACGGGCAGGCGCTTGGCAGAGAGCAAGCAACATTCAAGGACACAAACACAGGAAGGGGATCCACCCTGACCCATCCCACCACCTCCATTCTCTCTCAATGCCCTTCAGGGTTTGAAACAGACTTCCTGCATTGCACAACATGGGCTTCCCTCCCTCCAGACTGCACCCCCCCCCCCCCGGAACTGCATTCCCAAGAAGGGAGAAGGAGGCACCTGCCGGGTCCCGTCCCCTCCCCACCCCCGTCCCCAGTGAGGTTTCCCCCCAGAGAAGCGGGGTCCCAGCTGGAAGCAGGCAAGGGGCTGCAAAAGGAGACCTACTTGTTGGCGCGGATTCCTTCCCGGCGACTGGCCAGTCCTTCCGCCACCAGCGACTCTGCAATGATCTCCCCGGTTGTGTCTGGCGAGAAAAGACAAGGCGCATCAGCAGAGGGGAAGGAGAGGAGGCCCAAAGGCAATGGGAGCCAAGGGGGCCAAGGGGAGCCAGTGGCCCACCCAAGTCGCCACAAGGCCCAAGGCAGGCCCACCAGTGCCACCACCAAAGCCAGGCCTGAAGAGGAAGCCCCCAGGCGCTCTGCTAGTTTCACTGCGGTGTAGTGTTTTGAACACTGGGCTACGACTCTGGAGACAGAGTCCTACTGGGTGGCCCTGGGCAAGCCACACACTCTTGGCTTCAGAAGAAGGCCGTGGGAGCCGCCCTCTGAACACATCTCGTCAAGAGAAGCCCAGGGGAGGCTTCGGCCAGAAGAGACTTGAACCTGCACGGCCAACTGAGATCAGGTCAGCCGGGGAAAGGGGCACCTTCAAGGGACCCGGCAGATGGGCCAGGCACCCCTCTCCCTGCGGAAACAACGACACCTCTGGGGTGAGTGGTGGGCTGACTAACAAAAGACCCTCCCCATAAATGTACAGCAGAGTAACTTATCACCACCAGCATGGCCCAGCACACCCACAGTGCCCAAAGTGACAAAAAGAACAAAAACACACAGACCAAGGTTCTCTCTTCTTTGGAGGCTCTGCTTTGTAGTAAAATAATATGGTTGCATTATTTGCAACAACAAAATTTCCATAACACAAACAAATACACAGTAGCTTTACACACAGTAGCCTTCACACTGGAGCTTTCTCACACGAGGCTTCTCTCACACAGAGGTTTACCTCACACTCCTCAGGACGATACCAGCTTTGGCCTAATAACTCTAACAAGCTTCGGCCTACTCACTCTTTTCTTCATAGTAAAATAATATGGTTGCACTATTTACAAGAACTAGATTTTTAACACAAATAAACAAATACACAGTAGCTTTACACACAGCAGCCTTCACACTGGAGTTTTCTCACACGAGGCTTCTCTCACACAGAGGTTTACCTCACACTCCTCAGGACGACACCAGCTTTGGCCTACTCACTCTTTTAGTGCTTGACTCACCTTTTTGTAATTAAAAAAAGCCAGCTAATTTTTAATATTTGACAACACCCCCTTCCCCCCGCCCCCAGCAATGAGGGGCACCCCACGACCAGTTCAGGCAGCAGTGCCCACGTCAATGTCTTTGGGGGCGGGAGAGGATGTTCATTAGGGAAGATCCATCTCCTTGGCGGAGGCCGTGGCTGTCACGCAGCAGCCGGGAGACAGAGACAGAGCGCAACATGACATAAAAATCCGTAATGTGGCAAGGAACAAGCGGAGAGATAACCGGAACAGAAAACGCCGGCCGATAGCAGCCTCGCCGCCAAACAAAGAACTCGGAAGATTTATGTCCGGCATCCCGCTCAGACAATGTGACAAATATACTACCGCTGGGGACTGGCTGCGCGGGGAGATTGGCCGCGGGCGGCTGCTCAAGCGCAGCGAGCACTCTTGCAAGAAGCACAGCGGGAGGGGGAGGGGAAGGAGGGGGGGGCCGTGGGGAGTGGGGGAGAGGGACAAGGGCAGGGCAAGGACCCACAGAGAGAGAGAGAGAGAGAGAGAGAGGGGAACAGGGAGGCTCTTTGCCACCCGCAGGAGGCTGCGCACCAAAGCCCGAGGGGCACGGAGGATGAGGAGGACGAGGGCAACCCACCTGAGACTCAACTGGCCCAAGAGCAAGCATGGGCAACCTTGGGACCTCCCTCCCTCTCTCCAGGTGTTTTGCACTTCAACACCTACCGGCTATTAGGAATTGTGGGAGCTGAAGTCCAATACACCTGGAGGGAGGGAGGGAGGGCCCAAGTTTGCCCATGGCTGCCCTTGGGCCAGTTGAGGCTCAGGTGGGCTGCCCTTGTCCTCATTCTCCATTCCCTCAGGCCTTGGGTTAAGGTTGGGGTTGGGGTGGAGCCTCCTGAGGGTGGCAAAGAGACTACCTGTTCCCCTCTCCCTCTCTCTCTCTCTCTCCGCCCCCCTGTGGGTCCTTGCCCTGCCCTTATGCCCGCCCCCATCCCCTTCTGCTGAGCCCGTCTCCTCTGCCCACTGTGGAAACTAAGTTCCTCTGGGGAGGCCCTGCTCTCGGTCCCACCACCATCACAGGCGCGTTTGGTGGGGACGAGAGAAAGACAGGGCCTTCTCAGTGGTGGCCCCTCAATTATGGAACTCCCTTCCTGGCAATATTAGATCAGCCCCCTCCCTCCTGTCCTTCAGAAGGATGGTGTTGGAGCAAGCCTTTGGGGCAGGGCAATGAGGCAAAATGGTGTCCTGAGATGGCTCTTCAGCCACTGATTTTAAAGGGGATCTAAGAGATTTTAATGTTTGTTTATATTTATGGTTGTATGTCCCAGCACTGAAGGTTTGCCATATAGATGTTGTGGTCCGCCCTGAGTCCCCTGAGTCGGCGGGGTGAGAAGGGCGGAATAGACATATTTTAAATCAATCAATACTAATGCCTGCCCAAGAGGGCCACCAAGAGGGCCACCTTGGGGCCCCAGCCCCTGCCCTGCCCTGCCCTGCCCTGCCAGAAGCACAACGCAACATGGCTACACAGCCACACAAGCCAGAGCGCATGGCGGAGGGAAACAAACAAGACTAGAGCCAAACTCGGCCTAATTCAAAGCAGACAGTTGCTGTTGCTCCTTACTGGAAAGAAGAGCAGTGCAAATGGAAGCCGGGGATGGAAGAGATGAGGCGTGGCACTTTGGCCCCCAACCCCAAAATGAATGGGATCTGAAGGAATCCAAGTGGGAAAGAGACCTTCTGCTCAACTCTGAAGTTTGTTTGTTTTCCATGTCAGGAGACTTGAGAAACTGCAAGTCACTTCTAGTGTGAGAAAATTGGCCATCTGCAAGGATGTTGCCCAGGGAACGCCCGGATGTTTTTGATGTTTCATCCTTGTGGGAGGCTTCTCTCATGTCCCTGCATAGGGAGCTGGAGCTGACAGAGGGAGCTCACCCCGCTTTTCCCTGGGTTCGAAGCACTGACCTGTTGGGCAGCAAGTCCTGGCGGCACTTCCCTGACAAGCCACCTATCTTCCATTTCCCCGCAGTGGGAGCGTGCCTCCTCACCTGGGACACTGGCTGTGGGAGATGCCTGCTGAAGCCTCCCCAAAAGCCTCTTCCACAAGGCCCTCCCCCTGGCCAGATCAGCGAAGCATCCTGCAATGGGGAGGAGGGGTCAAGCGCCTGGTCATTCTGGATGGGATGGGGCACCCCCTCCCACTCACACAAGTATTTCCTCATTTTATGCATGCTTGCTGGAGATTTTTATGGTGTCGTAAATTAGTCTTCCCGTATAAGCGGTACCTAAATTTCCTACTTGACAGATGCAACTGTCTTTCGGGCTTCAAGCTACACCAATTGGTTGGAAACTCACTCCGAACTGGGCTGGCTTCGAACTCATGACCTTTTGGTCAGTAGTGATCTTAATGCAGCTGACACTCAGCCAGCTGCACCACAATCCCGGTGTATGGAAAGCCCAATGGGGCAAGACATGGCAATGGGGGGGGGAGGGGCAGGGGTCCAAAAGAAAGCACTTCCTTAAACACCCAGGTGCTGAAGCGCACTGGGGGGGGGGGCTCTGTTGTGACAAAGGAAAGGCCTGAAACTGGGGGGCTGGGGGCTCCAAGGGGGCCCGTGAGAGTTAACCCCCGGCCGGGGGAATCCCCCTTCTCCCCACGGCCTGCTCACCAGTCCCTTGCATTACAATAACAGTAAGTTTCTTGGTACCTCGCCACCACCCCCTCCCCAAGGGGCGGCTCACAAAAGCGCTTCAAAGTGCAGCCGCATACGGGGTCCATCCTGCGCCAAACTCCCGCCATTCAGAGACCCCCCCCCCCGACCCCCAAACATCCTGCCTCTTCCAAGCCACACAAGACACTTCAGGTCAGGCAAGTGCATGGCCACCTAAAAACCACAAAGAAGAGCCAAGCTGGCCTCCTCTTTCGTCACTTACTGGCAAGGCTATTGCGGGGGGGGGGGGGGGGAGGGTTGGGGTTCAACCCTCCCCCCCCCCCAAATTTTGAAGGTTAAAAAACAAACCTGGTGTTTACTCGTGGATTTCAACTGGTGGACCACACCCCCATCTTGCTAAGTCTATGATCAGCAAACATTAAATTGATTTACTTATAAAATATAGAGTGAAGCACACTATTTAAATTGTGTTGTATAATGGAACCACTCCTCATGATTCGCTAAATTACCAAAAAAAAGCCCCGCCCCCATTTTTTTGCTGGCTATGGGGCTGCCCACTGGGTTCCATGTCCGAGTGGAGATTCAGCCTCCGGCCTGAGCCTCCGCCCAGGACTCAAACCAACAAAAGGCCTTTGCAATAATAGCCCCAAAACACGTGCAATTGGTCTTTGGAACTGCCCAAGACCCTGCCGCCATCACCCTGCCCAGGGCCCCCCCCCTCCCTCTCACCTTTGCCCAGGTAGACCATGCCGTACTCCCGGCCTTGCGCAGTCTTGTACTCGACCGTGAAGCAGACCTCCTTCCCGATGAGCTTCTTCCGGAGGAACTCCCGGGCGGGGAAGCCCCAGGGCTGAGGGAGGAAAGCCAGGGGTCAGTGGCGTCCAGGCCAAGCCCCCCCCCCCCAGCACCCTTCTCTCTGAGGAAGGCTTCGCATTGCCCGCCTCCCTTGCAGCCGTGCCCAAGGCGGAATTCGTGAAAGGACAGCCACGAGCCTCCAGCAATACACACACACACACAGAGGCGGATGCCTATCCAAGGGGCCCCAAAGCCAACACGAAGGCCAGCAAAGCAGGAGAGTAGGGCAAAGGACTGAAGGTGGGGCACATCACATAAGGCAGTGTTTCTCAACCTGGGGGTCGGGACCCCTGTGGGGGTCGCGAGGGGGTGTCAGAGGGGTCACCAAAGACCATCAAAAAACATAGTATTTTCTGTTGGTCATGGGGGTTCTGTGTGGAAAGTTTGGTCCAATTCTATCGTTGGTGGGGTTCAGAATGCTATTTCATTGTGGGTGAACTATAAATCCCAACAACTACCACTCCCAAATGGCAAGGTCTATTTTCTCCAAACTCTGCCAGTGTTCATATTTGGGCATATTGAGTATTTGTGCCAAGTTTGATCCAGATCCATCATTGCTCGAGTCCACAGTGTTCTCTCAACTACAAGAGAGGAGATTCCACCTGAACATGAGGAAGAACTTCCTGACTGTGAGAGCCGTTCAGCAGTGGAACTCTCTGCCCCGGAGTGTGGTGGAGGCTCCTTCTTTGGAAGCTTTGAACAGAGGCTGGATGGCCATCTGTCAGGGGTGCTTTGAATGCAATATTCCTGCTTCTTGGCAGAATGGGGTTGGACTGGATGGCCCAGAGGTCTCTTCCAACTCTAGGATTGTATGAACTTGCGCAGAGGAAATCGTCGGGGGTGATTTGAATGCAATATTCCAGCTTCTTGGCAGAATGGGGTTGGACTGGATGGCCCAGGAGGTCTCTTCCAACTCTTTGATTCTATGCTTCTAAGTCTGGATATAGGTGAACAACAACTCCAAAAACTCAAGGTCAATGTCCACCAGACATTCCCAGTATTTTCTCTTGGAATTCTGTGTGCCATGTTTGATTCAATTCCATCATTGATGGAGTTCAGAAGGCTCTTTGATTGTAGGTAAACTATAAATCCCAGCAACTCCAGCATTACGAAATGACAAAATCAATCACCCCTAATCCCACCAGTATTCAAATTTGGGCGCATCAGGTATTTGTGCCAAATTTGGTCCAGTGACTGAAAATACATCCTGCATCTCAGATATTTACATGACGATTCATAACAGGAGCAAAATGACAATTATCAAGAAGGAAGGAAAATAATGTTATGGTTGGGGGTCACCACAACATGAGGAACTCGATTAAAGGGTCACGGCATGAGGAAGGTTGGGAAACACTGACATAAGGAGTAGTGAAGGGGGGTGCAGCCGGCAAAGCCCCCACCTGCAAGAACGGCCCCCTCCCAGAGGCATCACTTTTCATCCTCTAACACCCAGGCAGGCCAGGTATAGTTCCTCACTACTGAACACAGCACAACACAGAGGTATACAAGTGGTGGGCGTGGGGCGCGCATTGCCTGCGTGGGGAGCACTCTTGAGCGGAGGCTAACCCTGAGCGCCCACGGAGGCCTGCTCCCACTCAACTCTCCTTTCAAGGGACTGTTTGGAGACCATGCTCCCAAGCGTGTGCTGCCACCAAGCCCGGTGGTCTCTAGGCCTGGCTATAGGTTCGGGAGGGGCTCCGGCCAGCCCAAGGGAGGGGGGGTCCATCCAACCGAACAGAGGAGCTGCAGGACAGTGGGGGGGCGCAGCCACCACTCATGACACCCACAGGGGAGCGGGGCAGGCTCAGCACAAGAGGAAGCGTCTTTTGCACAGCTTAGTGCAGGTCACCTTTCTCCCCGCATGAGGCCTAGGGAGGTCTGGGCTGACAATTGCCAGCAGGCCGACTGCCCAGCTCTCCTGGGGGGGGGGGGCACAGCCTCGGCCACTTGGGCCCCTCCAGAAGGAAAAAGAGTGCCCTGAGGTTCACCCCACTCAAGAGGGCCACAGCCAAGCGGAGCCCCCGCACCCAGGAAGCGTGACCTACCTCGTCTGGCGTATCCTTGCCATCGGGTTGCCCGGCAGCAGCTCTGCGCGCAAGGTTCCCGGCCCGGATGTTGCTGAGGTTGATCTGCCTCTCCGGAGGCGGCCCTCCGCGCGGCTGTCCCCGGACGATGATGGCGCAGCCGGAGAGAACCTGGAGGGGAGGAAATGTGATGAGATGTGGCAGCAAAAAAAGCCAATGGGATGTTGGCCTCAGGCATCAAGAGGAGCCTAGTGCGTAGATCCAGGGAAGTCCTGCTCCCCAGGCTCTATTCCGCCTTGGTTAGACCACGTTACCTGGAATCACATTGTGTCCAACTCTGGGCACCACAATTCAAGAGAGAGATTGACTCTAAGCTGGAATGTGTCCAGAGGAGGGAGACTCA